TTTAATATTTCTTTTCAAAATGGCGTGTTTCCCGACTCATTAAAAATTGCAAAAGCTGTACCAATATTTAAGAAAGACGATCCTCACTACTTTATTAATTATCGCCCAATATCTTTACTACCATGTTTTTCTAAAGTGTTTAAACGCCTCATTTACAATATACTTTATGATTTCTTTACAAAAACACAATGTGTTTTTTAACAGACAATATGGTTTCAGAGAGGGATTTTCCACTGACTTAGCCTTACTTGACATGTATGAAAGCATAACGTATTCCCTCCAAAATAACAAATTCTCCATAGGTATGTTCATTGATCTCAGCAAGGCCATTGATACCATTAACCATTCTATTCTTTTAAGCAAATTAATTACTTATGGTATCAGGGGCCTGCCTCTTAAACTTCTTTCTAGTTATTTAAATAATCGACAACAATCTACAACTTTTAACTCTGTCAACTCCAAAATGAATCAAGTGCTTTGTGGTGTTCCACAAGGCTCTATCCTTGGACCTCTTTTATTTTTGATATACGTTAATGATCTTCACAATTCTTCCAATACTTTAAATTTTATTCTTTTTGCCGACACGATACTAACATATTTTATTCACACAGTAATATTAAGTCACTTTTCAATATCCTCAATGCTGAACTCGCTGATGTTTCTAACTGGTTTAAGCTTAATAAATTGTCTCTTAACACACCTAAATAAAATTATATAATATTTGGTTCAAAAAACATTAATTTTGGTAATTTGACCATAAACATTGATGATAAAAACATTATGCGTGTTGATGAAACTAAATTTTTAGGCATAACTACTGATTCTAAATTAAGCTGGAAGCCGCATATAAACAGAATTAATAATATTATTTCCCGAAACATCGGCATTATCAATAAACTTAAATTTACATTTCCCTCTAATATTCTGTTAAAACTGTGCAATTCCTTAGTCTTGCCTTATATTTCTAACTGCAACATTGCTTGGTCTATCTCATTCGATAAGTTTACCAATTCTTCTCCCTGGGATAGCTTTGAAACAACTGACATTGATAACCTTTTTAAACTCCAAAAACGGGCTATGAGAATCTGTGATGATACTCACTTCAGATCGCAAACCGAACCTTTTTTTACAAATACAATACCCTTAACATTTATGATTTGAACGAACTTCAGTCTGCTTTATTTATGTTTCATTTATATAATAATATGGTACCATCCCATATATCCTCTTTATTTTTAAAATCGTCCGATTATCATCAATACAATACTCAATCCTCACAAAATTATATTTCTAAATCCTAAACTATTTCAAACCTTAGACGTCATTCCATCTTTTATACAGCCCCAAAAGTATAGGAGTCACTTACCATGTCTTTGAAAAATAAATTATCTATTTCCAGCTTCAAAACGAATTAAAAAAACTCTCTGGTCTCGGCATACAGCAGGTAATCTCTCTACATCGACTGTATAATTTTCCTTCTCGTTTGACGTTTTTGTATTCATATGCACCAGTAAACAACCAGAAGGCCTAATTTCCCGTTCCTTTCATTCCATTCTTCATATGACTCAACTCATCGAGTTTATCCGCCTTACCTTCAGTGGCGTAACGGGTGGGGGGAGGGGGGACTGCAGACTCCCCTCCCCCCTCTGACGGTTTTTACCGGGCTAAACTAGCCGTCGTACCGGGCTGGGTAATAAGAGAAAAAAAAGAGGGGAGAGGGAGGGAAAGAGAAAGAAGAGGAAGAGAAAGGGAAAGGAAAAAGGAAAAGAAAAAGAGGAGAGAAAAATAAAGACAAGAATAAAAAGGAAGATATCATAATGACCAGACTCACAACACCCTGCAAACTCTTCTCCATTTAACTCCTTTGATCTAAGCTGCCAGATGGCGTAGGCTAACCACCGGGAAACAAGGGGAAAATATCTATCTTTGGAAAATCTTTCCCACCCCTTTATAAATGCCCTTTTCATCCCCTGAAAGTGCCTAAAAATCTCAAATTTCTTGTCGGAGTAGGCCAATTTCCTCTAAAAATTGCACATTTTAGGGATTGTGGATCAATTCCGACGAAATTAGAATTAAAAACACCGGGGGACAAGGGGAAAATATCCATCTTTGGAAAATCTTTCCCCACCCCTTGATAAATGCCCTTCTCATCCTCTGAAAGTGCCTAAAACCCTTACATTTCGCGCGCTTCGTGCACATTTCTTGTCAAGAAGTAGGCCACTTTCCTCTAAAAATTGCACATTTTAGGGATTTTGGATCAATTCCGACGAAATTAGAATTAAAAACACAGGGGGACAAGGGGAAAATATCCATCTTTGGAAAATCTTTCCCCATCCCTTGATAAATGCCCTTTTCATCCTCTGAAAGTGCCTAAAATCCTCAATTTTCGCGTGCATTTCTTGTTACGGTAGGCCAATTTCCTCTATAAATTGCACATTTTAGGGAGTTTTGATCGATTCCGACGAAATTAAAATTAAAAACACAAAAACTTTCTGCGCGCTTCGCGCGCATATATTAGGGTTTTTTAGGGATATACTTTTAAGTTATTTAAACACATAATAGTCCAAACTCAAGAAAGATTAGATTTTAAGATAGATCGTTTTAACCTAAAAGAAGGGCCTCAATGTGTATTGATGGTGAAAGAATATGTTTGTAATAAATAAAACCATGATTAAAATGCTTATATTTAGATTCAAACACACATGTGTGGCCTATAGTATAAATAAGATAAGCCCTATGTCGTATTGTTTTCTATATGGGGAGGGGGTGGGTATGATAAATTACTAACCGGGAAAATTATTACCTTTGCCGCCCCCACCCCCCGACACAAGACCCCTGTTACGCACCTGCTTACCTTTGTTTTATTTACTTCTTTTTATATTTTTTATTCAAACTTCTCATTTTGTTTCACTTAATTTATTGTATTATTTATTTACTGTATTTATTGTACTGACTAAAACATTTTTATAGCCTCAAATTATTAATCGTTTTTTTCTTTTTTTTTAGGTGGCCTGAGCTTAAGTGTCTCCGGACCTATACAGGCCTCCATTCATTTATCAATAAAAAAAAAAAAAATTATTTTTTCTCTTGTGAAATGTAAATAATTTATTGATAATGATGAATAAACAGTAACAGTAACAGGGGTTGACTGTAGTGTTAAAAGATATATTCTCCTCATTTCACGGAAAAGTGTCCCTTTAATAGGGGTGTCCCCTGAACAGGGGTGTCCCAAAGGAGCCGGGTTTTACTGTATAAGAAACCTTGAATACTATAAATGAAGTACTTGGTAGAAAGGGAAAAGGGGAACTCCCTCTTAAGCTCAACTCTGAAATGCAAACTTTTAAAACTCCAAAAGAAAAAAACAGATGTATTTAACTCTTACTTTGTCAAGACTGGAGAAAAGTTAGCCAAATATGAAGCAAATGAAACATCAAATACTAAATGTGCAGCATCCTTCTTAAAAAGCTAAAAAAATTCCATCTTCCTCAAACCTGATAAACAAAAAGACATTACATATATAAATCGTCACATAATTTGATTTGATTGTGGAGGCTATATAAGCTAATTAGACTCGTCTAATCAGCTTTAAGCCATAGCCCCCTTACATAATGATTTTAACTGGATCTGGATGAGTACGGTACTCCTCAACGCCCCTAAAAGGAGCAAAGCGAGAAGGGGACGGTGGTGGCGCTGCAGCTTAGCGTTCTGGCGTTATATATTCCTATAGTGATCGGATATAGCAATCTTGAACCTTTCTTTGTCTTCTATTAATGCAATTTCATTAGGTATTCGATTCCAGTCCCGTGAAGTTCTTGGTATGAAGGAAAATCTATAACAGTCCTTTTGGGCGGACACCTCGGAATATGTACAATGTCTAGAGAAGTATGTGACAGGACGCAAGTGACTTGTAATGGAATGGCAAGGCGATTATGTAGAGCTTGTTGAAAAATGGTCATTCTATTTAAGGATCTCCTTAATTGCAAAGAATCCCATTTTAATTCTTTTTTCATAGCAGAGACACTACTGAATCTGCTGTAGTCACTCAAGACAAATCTCGCACTTCTGTTTTGCACAGCTTCGATATCTCGGTCTAATTAATGACTTATAAGCAAGGTCCTAAAAGTTTCAGGAGCACGAATACAAATTGCGACGTACAAAACCCAACATTTTATTTGATTTTTATTTTATTTTATTGATAATTTGTTTAATATGTATATTCCATTTTAGCTTACAATTTATTTTAATTCCTAGATAGGTGTGATCCTTAGTTTCATTACCATATTAAACAATATTATTAAATTTATCGTCAATTAACCTCTCTTGGCAACTTTTTTAAAACATAGGCCTACTGTAGTCTGTGTCAAGGTGGGAGAATACAATATCACTCAAACAGGGCAAACAACAATTTACAGTCATTTTGTATTTTTATTTATTTGTATTTATAGCTCCTAAAGATACTTCTAATAGTAAAATATATATTTTTTTTATTAATATTTATATTCTTCCTGTATTCTTTATTCTTTTTTTAAATTTTTATTTTAAGTCGGTTTAAGAAGTATTGCTGTCCTTTATGATATTATGAAATGTAGTACAGTCAACGCCTAAAAAAGGCAGGCACCATCAACCAATGTATAGTTGGAGCTTGTTGGTGTCCCAGACACAATGTCGGGATTTCAATCCTTCGTTGTGCATTTCGCTTGTGTCCTTCAGCAAGGTGTAGTACTTATATCTGTGTTGCTTCTTTCACCCAGGAGTATAGGAGTATGAAATAACTACCTGGTAGGGTTGCTTTCTACTTAAGGCAACATGACTTATGTGAGCCCAGCGAAAAGGGATAACAATTATGTAACCTATATACAGGAAACGTGCTATATAAATATTTGGTAACAAAACAAAATCAAGCGACACGAGGGATTGAAACCCCAACATGGAGGTTGGGAAACCAAAGCATTCCCGCTGCACCAAACCGCTGTTATTCACAAAATTATTCATCATCATTATAAAACATCTGTATCGCAATTTAATCGACCCTTAAGTCATCATAGAAATATATTTTCTAATTTATATCTACGATTTTACATTACATTGGTATCTAAAAAGTGTGATATTAGATTGTATCGTCATCACCTTTGGCTGTATTGCAATATAATTGACCGTTTAATCATATAGAAAAGGTATGTATATTCAAATTTAAAAAATTTACATGCTTTGGTAGAGAGTATAAAAAATGTTATAATGTATTTGTTTATTTTATCTACTAAAATATGTCCTTAGCTTCTTTCGATGAATTTCAGATCAACCGGCTCATCTGGAATGACGAGAAGTTTCACAGCTAAACCAACCTCCTTAGTCGGTATTATTTCGAACTGGCGTATGATCTGCAAATAATAATGTTAATATGTTCAATGTCACTGTATGTCTCATGTCACTTAAGTATTTTGATACTCAGCAAGGCAGTTCTTTATGTGGAGGGGTCAAACTTTGCCTTCCAATCAAAGGGTCCTGGGTTTAAATCATGTTACTACTACTACTACTACTACTACTACTACTACAGGGTTTCAGGTTTTAGTTTCAAACTGTTGCACTCCCTAGCCTCATAGAGATTTAGTTTCTAAAGCATCGTCCCATCCAGTAATTGGTAGGTTATCTACTTGTTGTTGGATGTGAAAAGAATATAAAAAGACTTCATGATTGCAATAGGAATCATAACAATTATAATAAAAAATTGTAACTATATAGCCCAACAGCTTTATGCTATACACAAAGACAAATTTTGTAATCGTCAATAGAAAATGACACAAAATAGCTAAGACAGCCACTGTGTTGTTAGCCAGCTGCTTTGAACTGCAAGATGACAAAATCATAATTATAAACAACACTGAAAGCACCGCTATAGTAGCGTAAACAGTGGGGTGGGGGAAACAGCAACCCCTTACACATTATTTTTTTTATATTGTAAATTAAAAAAAAACAGAAAAATAGAAAATTTTTCTGTTTTTGTCTATGCAATTTCCGGCCATCTAGTGGCGCCATATTATACATTTTCTTACTTCCGCCCCGACCATGGTGAGGCTAAGGTGGTCTAAACACTCTATTTCTGAAAGTCCCTCCATCTATTCCTAATTTATGGATCCACCACTTGTAAATCTCAAGAGTATTGTCTCACCTCAGATAGTAGTATATGCATCTCTTGCTCTGCAAATCTACGACCTAAAAAGAAAGTGAAATAAATATAAAACAACAAGTAAGCCTTATAGTTTATACCTGTAATAAACATTATTAAGAAATTATATAATATATAATAATTAACTCATTTTCAAAATTTAATAATGATACATTTGTGTTGGCCATTATTTGTGTGTTTCACTCGAACCTCTTCTACTGTAATAGTCTTTTAATTTCAGTTGCTGTTTCAGCTGATGGGCTAAAGTATAAGTTACAGTAGCGCAGCATTATCCACAAATTATGTATTTAAAAGTTATTGGTCCTAATTGCAATATGGCCTATACACAAGTTAAAAAATTTATTATTTTTTCGATTCCATTCCGAGACAAAACAACGTACCTTCAATGAAGATACATTGTTTTGCCCCGCAATCTTTAATTTACAATGGTTTATCATGGAAAATAACTAGCTATCTCCCAAATGAGATTTGGAAGCGGTTGGCGCATCAGTTGTGGCTTGGACTCCCAATCTCGAGGTCTGGGGTTCGAAACTCTCACTGTGCAAATCGCTTGTGTCCTTGGGCAAGGCACTTTATCTACGGTTGCCCCTCTCTAACCAGGAGTACAAGTGGGTACCTGGTAGGTTCCAACACAACTGCGCTGATTACTAGCCGCAATATGGAATAATAATATAATTTAATTTAATAATTTAATTTGGTGTTCAATGTGTTCCATATGTGTTTGATCCAATGACCGGGGTAGTAATGTGAAGCGCTTAGAGGTTTTGTTAAGGCATTAAGCGCTATATAAGAACGACATATTATTATTATTATTAAATGACTCATTATTGAGACATGAAATTAGTAATTCAGGAGTGTTACATTATACTCCTAAATGATGCTATCTTATTAAATCGACAAGAATGTAGGACGTGTGAGAGCCTGACGACGTAAAGTGTCTGCTGATTGATGGTGACAGTCTGAGCGGATCATTAAAAAAAAAAAAACGGTTGCATGCGCTGTTGTTGCGCTGCATTCTCATTCGAATCATGTCATCCGACAACCAATTGCCGCAGTGTGTCCCCGAGATTTTTGCCACACCAAAGACATCTAACCTACTCACCAACACACATTCTGGTGCCAAAGCCAAATGGTATTGAGGCAAATGCGTTGACACCTTTGCTGCTGTTTTTCTTTGTCCGATCCCAACGCTCTGGTCGAAACGCCAAAGGCTCTTCAAAGAAGTTCGGATCTTGAGATATAGGGTAAAACTGCACTACAATTGGGGTCTAAGGTCATAATGATAAAATTAGTTGTAAATAATAATTTTCACATAGCTAAAAACACACAGTCTTAAAAGTATGAAATGTAATATAATAATGAATAATTTACTAAGTTGGAAAGGAACAGACCTTTGCTGGAACATTATACCCGCCAAGTTCTATGTCACTGTCAAGTTTTCTTGTTATTCCACTTATAACTGGTTTCATCCTGTATAATAAACCAACAATAAACACATTACTCTATTTCAATAATACGATAGCAAGGAAGCTACGGTCACAAGGAGGGCAGATAGCTTGGTACACGTACCTCATCGATTCTTTAATTACCATCCTCATATATACCAATTTGGCTAAGTCATCTTGAGTGATTGGTTTATCGACCGGTATGGCATCACAGATTTCTTTGCGGAGTTTTTTTTGAGCTTCAGGATTGCATGCTAGAAAGTACAGCGTCCATATGAGAGTGTATGAAGTCTACGAAAACAAACATCATTTAGGGAAGAAGCAATTAGTAGAGGGAAACAAGTCACATACACACAATCAAGCATACCTCGGAGCTGAATAAAGAGCATCTTTCCATCGCAATAAATGACAGCGACATCAGGATGGAATAAGTTTTCTTTTTTTATTAAGAAAAACTTTCTGATGAGATACATAATAAAGAATTGCTTGATTGTGTTATGTTGCTTAAAAAGCTCCAGTTCCAAACACATGGCTTCAATGGTGTGGTCAGATTACCAATTAGACAACGGCCTACTGACTCCATTTCCATAAAACACATTAAGGCTACCTTTTTGAGTTGGAATACTGTAGAATATATGGTAGGCCTACTCTTTAATCAATATGTTATTATTTTTTTCCTTGGTCAGGCTTGCATTTATATGTTTACAAATCAATTAGCAGGATACGGCTTACCATAGAGTAGACAGTACAAGGTGAAAATGTATACCGTATCAATTGCTGCTCCCATCAGCTCAGACAAGTTGCCAAAAATTTCATCACGAGTGAGATCGCTGTTGGAGATTAAAGCTCCCAAGAAAGTATCTTCTTTGACCTCAAGGCCCTTTTCTTTTGCTGACATCAACTCATCAACTCGATGTTCAATCAAATTCTTTGCTGAAAGTGTGAGTGACCATCAGGTTAAAAAACATACCATGTCTGCTTTTTTTAACATGAAAATTATACAGGAGGTCAAGCTAACCTTATTTGGATGAGCTCTCTTACGTACACAAAATGTAGCAAGGGATCTTGATAAATATTATTTGGCATTCATCCTGTGTAACAATCTTGTAAATTGAGTACGACTTCACACCCTCCATGCCCATAAGATGCTTTCGCAGGTGGTTTTCACCATAACCTATTTTCAAGTTGGTAAGGTATATGGGCCAATCACTGGCATACCTACAGGTCCAAGTCATGCCTCCCTCACCAGTCTTGGTCCCCCACACTCCACCCATTTAAAGACTCCTAAATATGCCACTGTCACTAACATGAGCCGAAACCTCACTGTCTGCATTATTAGAAACACTCCAAATTGAAATCTACCGTAAAACCTCGAATAGAAGCCCTGGCGGCTTCTTTATCTTTAAGATCCTTTTTTGAGATGGGCCACTTTTCGAGATGGGCTTTTTTTAGATTACATTTGCAAACCAGTGATGGCGCTAGGACCTGCCCGACGGAGGGGCTAAAGGCCCCGACAGGGGAGGGGGCTAGTGGAGCGAATTGAGTCTCACTTGGCTGGTGGCCAGGGGCCCCGGTGGGGGTACAGGGGCGAAGCCGCTGAAAGCCACGGATATTTGACGAATTATGGTGAATTTTTATTACTTATTTGATAGACATCGAGCTACTACAACTAGACTTCATGTAGGCTATGTTTACTAACGTCGAAATCAGCTTCCAAAACCAAAATATTTTGAATAAAAAAAGAAACAATTAAGTATGCAATGTAACCATCTAATTTATTTTCAAATCCTCATTCTTGAAAGTGAAATTCTACATTTTGGAAATTTTGCATTTGTTCAACACTGTCAAGGTCGAGGTTGCTTCCTCTATCACGATGTATTCAAAGCATCATGAGGCTATCCAAACGAGCATTTGTCATAACAGAAGGTAAATTATTTTTAATTAGTCTCATTATTATTATTAGTTATTAATATTATTATCATTATTACTATTATTATTATTATTATTATTATTATTATTGTGATGAAAAGTTAACAAAAATAGTTTAATGAAAGTAAATAATTTTTTTCATTTGTTTATTCCCCGCCAAAATTTACTTGTCTTCCACGACAGGGGGGGGGGGACTATGCTTCCCTGCCCCCCCCCCCCCCCCGGCCCCCCCAAACTAAAGAGGAGGAATTCTTTTCAAAAATAATGCTGTAAATTTTGAAATTGTGATTATACAACATTTTTCTATGCTAGTACAATAAAATAATATTGATACTGACACGCTATCATAATAATCAAAGATTAGCCTAATATTAGCCCATATTATCTTTATTAGAAAATCATGGCTTCTTTTCTAGGTTACTTTTGCAAATTGAGGAGGGGAAGGGGGATAGAGGCTTCTTTGAGATAAGATTCTCGAGGCTTTGGGGCTTCTATTGAAGTTTTATGGTGTCGAACAGTTTAACTGCATGGAGGTGGAGATATCTCGACCTTCCCACTTCACAGACATCAGCCACAAACATGATTTTAAGAACTGTTCCTATCAGGCATCCCAGTATTTAAAAACGGAGATACCAGAGATATAATTAATTATAAGTCAATTTCCATTTTACCATTTTTTTCCCAAAAAATGTTTGAGCGAGTTGTCTACGATCCAAACTTTGTTTTCTCAAAGTTTAATATCCTAAGCTCCGCACCGTATAGGTTTAGACAAAATCATTCAACCAGCCATGCCTTACTACAATCCATTGTAATTTCAGATTTTCTTATCTGCTATTAAAAATATTTAGTATATTTCAAAACAACTATACTTATAGACACCCAATGAAACAACCTGCACAAAAAATTAGAGTGAATATTAATTATTTGTATTTATTAACAATATAATATAATCTTAAAGTATGGTCACATACTGACGCATTAAAATGTATACAAAAGTACATAGAAAAAATTAAGGTATTGTTTGATTTAATGGTTAAACCTTGTCTAAATTGGAAATGCATATAAAAATACTGACTAAAAGGAATCTATGTTCAATACTTGTAATGTAAATTTGACAATATTTGGCTTAGTCATATTAGTACATACATTTTGGTCGCGTACTGACAAAGAGAAATTAATTATGTTAGATTTTCAAGGGGTTTGGGACAAAGAAAAGTCCTTGGGGTACTCCTGAGTGAAAATTGAAACTGAGTAAAATATACTGTTGCAAGCTCCAGCCTACAAGTAGTTAGTAAAATGTCACCAAAGTTAGTAAAAAGATAAAAGCGTGGCAGACTTGCATCAGCCGCGACCAAATTTGGTCGCGAACTGACCATTTATTAATTATGAAATTAATAATTAAATAATGGATTATAGATTTGAAATTTATTCAGTAAATTCAGTCAATGAGGTGAATTTTATGTAAATTTGACAATATTTTGCTTTGTAAATTAAGTAATTAATACATAGAAAATTAATTGCCACACCCTAATGACTAATTTATTAAAGAAAACCAATTTTCTTCACTAACTATAAAACTAAAGTACCTTATCTATCATCACAAATGGGTTGCTGGAAAAAGTACAAGCAGGATGGGGCCCCAGAGACGAACCAGTTAAAACATTAAGGACGGTTGGTGGCGCAATCCAGTGCAACCTGGACCAAACCAGACCATTATTGCAGACTTCAGTCTGAAGCAGTTGGCAGTTTGCCAATGAAACGTTACAGGTAAAATATTATCTACGTTTTTGGTTCAACATAAAACTAAAAGTAAAAAATTTGAACAAAATATTACTAATATTATTATTTACTTTTTTAAAATTTTTATTATTATTTATTTAAAGCATTTTCTTGCCTATTTTGTAACCTTTTCCTTTTTATCTGCTGCCACTGTATTTCTTTTGCTGATAACTGTATTGTTTATGTTAATTGGAATAAAAGTTATTTGAATTGAAAAAAATTGAATTGAGTTACTTACTGACTGAAATAGTTGTATCCCAACCAGCCACATGTCGCTTCCAGGGTTTTGTATTGAGACGTTTGTGGAGACCAGTAAATAGAAAAAGCTCAAGTGTTGTCTCAAAAACTTCTTGAATGGCAACAATGAAACTCTGTGACTGCTCCTCAATCTTGTCAGACAGAAGCCCAAGGCGATGATCCAAGAGAACCTTTGTAACACCTGAATCGAACAACAGGAATTAAGATATTTGTTAGAATGTCTTTTGGATGATCGCTATTTGAGACACATCAACACAAAACTGTACAAGGTAACATACTTTTGCAGTCTAGCCGCTCATCACTGTAATGTTTTGAATGCATTTAGGCATCTAATTTATCAATGGTTTGACATAAATTGATATTGTATATAGCCATAGGCAGATTCAAGGGGAGGAGCTCACCCTTTGTCCCCACCCCCACCCCACCCCCCAAACTAAATTTATAAACATCTTTCAGAATTTAAAAAGAAATTAGGGAAGAGCAAAATTACATAAAACTTTTTAGTCTGAGAGTGCCATAATCAGCCATCTGGAAGTGCAAGGCATATTTATGTTGTACCCAAGCCTCAACCATGATGGGGCTGAGGTGATGGGAACCTTCCATCTGTAAAATTGACCTTCCAGCAAACACCAGTATAATTATATTTTTATTTATTGTTTGGAAGATCTGAAACTCATCAGATATCAGATGATTTGAAATCTTGTAATTAATGGGTGTGGAAATAGACCCTTCCAAAAACAAACCAATTACAGGTGATTTAAAAACAACAGTCCTTTCGCTATATATAGGTTAAAGATTTGCCACACAAATAGAATATAGAAGCGGTACTGGGTAAAGACAACTTGATTTCTTGCTTCGAGGAAGGGTATGCATTTGTAGAAATATAAGCCTATCCAATAGTGACATTAAAGGGTCGGGACCAGGACATACATTCGACTTTTAGATTGATGAACATTGAAATATGTTAAATACAGACACACACAGGC